TTACAGGGATTCCATTCGACGCGCACTACGCAAAGAAGCGAAAGACGCATTGATGTGGCAAACGGAGTTGAACCAGAAGTTGAAGTTGTTAGTGACATCTCCTTGGAGTTAGTTGATGGATTCAATCTTCTACTTAAAGATGTTTTATTTGTTGCATCATGTCATAGAAACTTAATTAGTGTTTCTTGTTTGCACAAAGATAATTATGAATGTTATTTTGGACAGGGCAAGTGTGCCATATGGTTAAAAAATGCTTATGTGGGTGATGCTTTACTACACGATGAGCTTTATTTGTTATCACTTCGTGAAAAAGTTTATTCTGTATGCAATGTGAAAGAACATGTTTCCGCGTCGAATAAAGAACAAAATAAAAGAAAGACAACATTCGACTCATGGAAATTATGGCACTATCGCTTGGGCCATATTTCCAAGGGGAGAATAGAAAGATTAGTCAAAAGTGAAATTCTTCCTCCGTTAGAATTCTCATACTTAGAACAATGCATAGATTGCATTAAAGGAAAATATAAAACAAACAAAAAAGGTGCAATCCATAGCATAGGCACACTAGAAATCATTCACACCGACATTTGTGGACCATTTCCGGTGAAAAGTGTGGATGGATATGACTCGTTCATAACATTCGCAGATGACTACTCTCGCTATGGATATATTTAATCAATCAAAGAAAGATATGAAGCATTGGATAAATTTAAAATATTCAAAGCTGAAGTTGAAAATCAGCATGATAAAAGAATAAAGATAGTAAGATCCGACCGTGGGGGAGAGTACTATGGTCGGCACACCCATATGGCCAAGTCCCTAGAACTTTTGCAAAGTTCTTGCAGGAGACTGGCATAGTAGCCTAGTATTCAATGCTGGGTGAGCCTCAACAAAATGGAGTAGCTGAAAGGCGCAATCGTACACTTATGGATCTGGTGTGTAGCATGATGAGTTACTCCACCTTGCCATTGGGATTATGGATGGAGGCTCTTGAAACCGCCATTCACATTCCCAACAGATTACCAAGCAAGTTGGTGCCCAAAACACCGTGCGAGCTATGGACGGGAAGAGTGCCCTCCCTACAACACTTCAGGGTGTGGGGATGCCCTGCTGAGGCCAAAATGTTTAATCTAAACATTGCAACGTTAGATCCCAAAACAGTGAGTTGCCACTTCATTGCCTATCCAGACAGATCAAAGGGTTTTCGTTTCTACTGTCCAGACAGATATACAAAGTTTATAGAAACATGACACACAGTCTTCTTAGAGGACGAAATGATGAGGGGGAGCTTGGTAGCTCGGAAAATTGATCTTGAGGAGAAGAGGGTGCATGCACCTAATCCAATGATTTAGGAGCCATTTTTCTCACTACCAGTTGCAGCACCACCCATGACAACTATGGGGGCAGACCCGGAGCCTATCCGTCAGGAGCCGACTGAACCCGTTGTTGAGCATGAAAGGGAGATGTAGCAGCAAATTATAGAAGAAGTGCCAGAAACAAAGGCCCTTAGAAGGTCTACAAGACACAAAAAGTCAGCTATTTCTACTGATTATAAAGTTTATAACACGGAAATGGTTCATACAGAAAAAGATCCCACCTCATATGAAGAAGCCATGAGAAGCCCTCATTCATCAAAGTGGATGAAGGCAATGGAAGACGAGATGAAATCGATGAGTTCCAAAGATGTTTGGGCCTTAAAGAAAATTCCTAAAGGAGCCAAAATAGTAGGCTGCCAATGGGTCTACAAAACTAAGTATGACTCCAAAGGGAATGTAGAAAAGTATAAAGCAAGACTTGTGGCAAAAGGATTTACACAAAGAGAAGGGATAGATTACAATGAGACATTTTCTCCAGTCTCATGTAAGGATTCCTTCATAATCATAATGGCATTAGTTGCTCATTTTGATTTAGAGTTACATCAAATGGATGTAAAGACGACATTTCTCAACATGGATTTGAAAGAAAATGTCTACATGAAACAACCCAAGGGTTTTATCATGGAAGGCAAGGACAATATGGGATGCCACCTGAAGAAATCCATTTATGGATTAAAGCAAGCCTCTAGACACTGGTATTTAATGTTTAATCAAATGATTAAAAGTTTTGGATTTAAAGAAAATATCGAGGATAACTGTATTTATGCAAATTTTAAAAATGGGAAATATATTTTCCTAATCTTGTATGTGGATGATATCCTGCTTGCTAGCAGTGATGTTACTCTACTACAAGAAACAAAGAAGTTCTTATCCTCAAATTTTGACATAACAGATCTTGGTGAAGCATCATATGTTTTTGGCATAGAAATTCACCGAGATAGGAACAATGGAATCTTAAGACTATCGCAGAAAGCATATTTAGAAAAAGTTCTTAAAAAGTATAATATGCATGTGACTAAAGCTACACCTGCTTCTATAGTCAAGGGCGATAGTTTTGGGAAATTCCAATGTCCCAAGAACCAGTACGGGATCGATCAAATGAAAGTAGTACCATATGCTTCGGCTGTTGGCAGCTTACAATATGCATAAGTGTGCACTCGCCCTGACTTAGCTTTTATAACTGGGGTACTCGGTAGATATCAAGAGAATCCAGGCATAGAGCACTGGAAGATGGTAAAGAAAGCATTGCGTTATGCGCAAGGCACGAAGGACTACATGCTAATATACATGATAAGTGATTCTCTAGAGATAAAAAGGTATTCAGACGCAGATTTTGCGAGGGACAGAGATGATAGAAAATCCACGTCAGGATACGTATTCACACTCGCTGGGGGAGCTATTTCGTGGAAAAGCTCCAATCAGATCGTTGGCTTGATGGAAATGTGCCGGGGCTCCTTGCTCCGGATGTCTTCGAGCTCTGCTCCCGCAAAAACGTCTCTGTCCATGATGCAGTCTCCAACAACAAATGGATGCTGGGCCTCCATCGGATTTCCGAGATTACGCAACTCCGACAGTGTGCTGACCTCTGGACTCGGGTGCAACAGGTAACCTTGGATCCACTAGCTTCTGACTCCATCTCCTAGGTCTGGAACAGCTCCAAGTCATACTCCGCGTCCTCGGCGTACCAGTGTCAGTTCCTTGGCTCTGTCTCTCCATTTCAGTTTGATAAGTTGTGGGCAATAAAGGTGGAAGCCAAGTGCAAAATTTTCATGTGGCTTTGGCTACGGGCCGTACCCTCACAGCAAATAACCTGGCTGTCCGTGGAATACCTCATGATGACATATGCAGCCTTTGTGACCAGGAGGATGAGACGCCCACCATGACCTTGCTTGCCCGTTTCCTCGTACAATATGGACTATGATGGGGAATGACCTTGGCATGCCCATTCTTACAACTAACGCTCAGATTGCTGTATCTATTAAGCATTGGTGGGATGACTTGACTTCGTGTCTTCAAGGAACGGCCAAGAAGGCGGCCATCTACACTACTTAGAACATCTGGAAGGAATGGAACATGCGTGTGTTCGAGCACCATTTGCTTGCTATCCTCCATCTCATCAAGCAAGAGTGCAAGACATATCTCTTCCTTCAATCTCTGCTCGTTGGCTTTCTGATGTAGAGAACTCACCAGAACTATTTTCTGCTCGTTGGAACCTGTGCCAGACTGATCCTTTTATTTTCTTGGTGCGGGTCACCCCAACCCCACACTGTGTACCGTAACATTTGTATTTTATTTCTCCTTCTTATTATATTAAGGCAGCCCAACTGCCGGTTCCTTAAAAAAAAGAATTTCCACGTTCCTCTATATAGTATAACCGGATATCTTCTACCTCGCCAGTGCCAGTGCCAGTGCCACCTCCAAAACATTTCTGAAGTCAAGAAGAAGCAGACTGCGGTGCTGTACCGTGGCGCCGTCGTCGGTCATGTTGGCCCCATGACAGAGCTCACCAACGTCTTTCTGAAGAATGGCTACGACGTCACCGTGGTGCTCCTCAAGACGCCCTTTAAGTTGCCAGTCTCCGGCGCAACCGCCATCGAGCCCATTGCTTCCTCCAATCCGTCCATCTCCTTCCATGTCCTCCGAAAAGCACCCTTTCTTACTCATTCTCCAGCTCTTGCCTGATTATAATGAGCAGTTCGAAGCATTCCTCCGAGCCGTCAACCAGAAAAGCTTGCACTCTGTTGTCCTCGACATGTTCTACATTGATGCCACCGACATTTGCATGAATCTCAGCGTCCTGGTCTACACGTTCTTTGCAGGGAGCGCCTCGTGCCTGTCAGCCCTAACCTAGCTCCCGACACTGATTGCCGGCAGGCAGACGGGCTTGAAGGAACTCGGGGACACACCACTCAATTTCGTCGGTGTTCCGCCGATGCCAGTGTCTCACCTCATCAAGGAACTGCTGGAGCACACCGAAGATGAGATGTGCAAGGCCATGATGAACATTTGGAAGCGCAACACAGATACCATGGGCGTCCCGCTGAACACGTTCGAGTTGTTGGTGAGTCGTGCGGTGTAGTCTCCTAGGGGCCCACTCTGCGATCCGGAAAGGATCCTGCTTCTGATCTACTGCGTTGGTCCGTTGGTCAGCAAGGGCACCAAGGATGAAGACAAAGCAGAGAGGAATGAATGCCTCGAGTGGCTCGATGCACATTCCGACCACATCGTTGTGTTCCTCTGTTTCGGGAGCAAGGGCGCACTCTCGGCGGAGCAGCTCAAGAAGATAGCCATTATCTTGGAGAGGTCAGGGCAGCGGTTCCTATGGTCCGCGCGCATGCCTGCGGGAAGTGACGACCCAGAGAAATACTTGGAAGTGCGCCCCGAGCCGGAACTTGTCGTACTCCTGCGTCAAGGTTTCTTAGAGCGGACCAAGGCAGGGGCGGATCCAGCCCAGCCCAGCGCCCCGGGCCCCCTTTGTATACTGTAGCAGTTGCTACGGTATTTTCCCTACAGCCCACAAAGAAAATGGGCTTCACGCCCCGGGTCTGGGCCCCCCGGCCTGGGGCCTAGATCTTCCACTGGACCAAGGGCAGAGGCCTGGTCGTCAAGTCGTGGGTGCTGCAGATGAACGTGCTCGGCCATCGGGCCACTGGCGCGTTCGTGACGCACTGCAGATGGAACTCGTTGCTGGAGGCCATTGTGGTTGGGATGCCCATGTTGTGTCTGTCGCTGGATACTGAGCAGAAGACGAACAAGTTGTCTATGACAGAGGACATAGGCGCCGCTCTGGAGCTGGAGGGATACACGAAAGGTTTTGTCAAAGCAGGCGAGGTGGAGGCCAAGGTGCGGCTGGTGATTGAGGGCGAGGAAGGGAGGCAGCTCAGGGCTCGGGTGGCTGCTCGCAGGGAAGAGGCCGAGGCGGCCCTGCAGGAAGAGGGCTCATCGTGGGCGGCATTTTAGCAGTTTTTGTTGGATGTGGATAATCTTGGAAAGCAGCTCGGCGAATCACGCACTAGTATGTACATTTATGTTGCCAGCATGTTTTTGACTATATACTGCAAGGCAACAGCCTCACCGTTCTTTATTGCAAAAGAACCAGAGCAGTTACAAAGTTACAAATTACAAGGAAAAGAACAAAGGGATACTTACAAAGATTAGTTAGGGGAGAGAAGCTATCCAGGAAATTAGACTATTCCTATATTTACACTTGATTCTATGAGCTAAAAGAGAAATGTCATGGATAAAATTCCTCCTCCAAGATCGAAAGGAAGGCAGCTCATTTCTGAAGATCTTCCCATTTCTTTGAGTCCAAATATTCCATGCGGCAGTGAAGACCACCTCCGTGAAAAAGGGGAGGCCAAAATCCTTCCTTGCAGCTAAAGCCATGTCATGGGTAGTCTGGTTTGGTTGGAGGATCCATGAAATGCCAAGGTAGTTCCAAACACGTTGGCTGAAGTTGCATGCAAAGAAAAGATGGGCTTGGTCTTCATGACAGGCAGTATTACACATTACACACGTGTCATCCTGGATAATCCAAAGGCGTCGCTGCATCATGTCTCTGGTGTTCAACTGATCCATCAAAAGAAGCCGGCCAAAGACCTTGAATTTGAGAGTGCATGAACATTTCCAGATCCATTTAGAAATGGGATCAACCACAATATGTGAGAAGCAAGACACATAGTAGATCCTAGACTGGTATTCTCCAGACTTGGATGGCCATTTCCAAATATCCTTCCCTTCCTCTTGAAGGTTGATCAAAGGCAGCAGAGCTTGAAGTTGGGTGAACTCCTGGAAGGCTTCAGCCGACAAAGGCAGGTGAAAATTGTCAGTTAGATCAGGTCGCTCCATAAAATCCTTAATGGTGATTGTGTCATCAATCACATAGGAATGCAGCCTTGGAAACCGACAATGCATGATAACAGCCTCATTTCCAAGCTGCCAGCGGTCCAGCCAGAAGACCACCGTATCACCAGCATACACAAGAGGCACAACCAACTTACGAAAACTATCATATAGCTACAAAACGTCCCTCCACCAGAACGAGCCACAACTCTTGGTGACTTGAGGGGGTGATGAGGTATAATACGTGTCCCAAATGAGCGTGACCCAGGGCACATCCAGTTTGTTAAAAAACTTGAAAAGATGCTTGATCAACAAGGCTTCATTTCATATACCTAAGTTGAGAACACCGTGTTGGAAATATGCCCTAGAGGCAATAATAAATTGGTTATTATTATATTTCCTTGTTCATGATAATCGTTTATTATCCATGCTAGAATTGTATTGATAGGAAACTCAGATACATGTGTGGATACATAGACAACACCATGTCCCTAGTAAGCCTCTAGTTGACTAGCTCGTTGATCAATAGATGGTTACGGTTTCCTGACCATGGACATTGGATGTCGTTGATAACGGGATCACATCATTAGGAGAATGATGTGATGGACAAGACCCAATCCTAAGCCTAGCACAAGATCATGTAGTTCGTATGCTAAAGCTTTTCTAATGTCAAGTATCATTTCCTTAGACCATGAGATTGTGCAACTCCCGGATACCGTAGGAGTGCTTTGGGTGTGCCAAACGTCACAACGTAACTGGGTGGCTATAAAGGTACACTACAGGTATCTTCGAAAGTGTCTGTTGGGTTGGCACGAATCGAGACTGGGATTTGTCACTCCGTGTAAATGGAGAGGTATCTCTGGGCCCACTCGGTAGGACATCATCATAATGTGCACAATATGATCAAGGAGTTGATCACGGGATGATGTGTTACGGAACGAGTAAAGAGACTTGCCGGTAACGAGATTGAACAAGGTATCGGGATACCGACGATCGAATCTCGGGCAAGTATCGTACCGCTACACGAAGGGAATTGTATATGGGATTGATTAAGTCCTTGACATCGTGGTTCATCCGATGAGATCATCGTGGAGCATGTGGGAGCCAACATGGGTATCCATATCCTGCTGTTGGTTATTGACCGGATAGTTGTCTCAGCCATGTCTGCATGACTCCCGAACCCGTAGGGTCTACACACTTAAGGTTCGATGACGCTAGGGTTATAGGGAAAGTATGTATGCGGTTATCGAATGTTGTTCGGAGTCCCGGATGAGATCCCGGACGTCACGAGGAGTTCCGGAATGGTCCGGAGGTAAAGATTGATATATAGGAAGTATGGTTTTAGCCATCGTAGTGTTCCGGGCATCACCGGTAGTGTACCGGGACCACCGGAGGGGTCCAGGGGTCCACCAGGTGGGGCCACCAGCCCCGGAGGCCTACATGGGCCAATAGTGGGAAGGGACCAGCCCCTAGGTGGGCTAGGGCGCGTCCCACCAAGGCCCAAGGCGCCTCCAAGAGGGGAAGAGGGCAAACCCTAGGCTTAGATGGGCCTAAGGCCCACCTAGTGGTGCGCCTCCCTATCTCCCCCCTTGGCCGCCCCCTAGATGGGATCTAGGGCTGGCCACCACCCCTAGGGAGGGAACCCTAGGTGGGGGCGCAGCCCCTCCCCCCCCCCCTATATATACTTGAGGTTTGGGGCTGCCCAAAGCATGTGATTTGCTCTCCCTGTTGGCGCTGCCCTACCCCTGTCCCTCCTCGTCTCTCGTAGTGCTTGGCGAAGCCCTGCTGGAGTACCACGCTCCTCCACCACCACCACGCCGTCGTGCTGCTGCTGGATGGAGTCTTCCCCAACCTCTCCTTCTCCCCTTGCTGGATCAAGGCGTAGGAGACGTCACCGGGCTGTACGTGTGTTGAACACGGAGGTGCCGTCCGTTCGGCACTAGGATCACCGGTGATTTGGATCACGACGAGTACGACTCCATCAACCCCGTTCAGTGGAACGCTTCCGCTTAGCGATCTACAAGGGTATGTAGATGCACTCTCCTTCCCCTCATTGTTACATTACTCCATAGATTGATCTTGGTGATGCTTAGAAAATTTTGAATTTCTGCTACGTTCCCCAACAGTGGCATCATGAGCTAGGTCTATGCGTAGTTACTATGCACGAGTAGAACACAAAATAGTTGTGGGCGTCGATATTGTCAATTATCTTGCCGTTACTAGTCTTATCTTGATTTGGCGGCATCGTGGGATGAAGCGGCCCGGACCAACCTTACACGTACGCTTACATGAGACCGGTTCCACCGACTGACATGCACTAGTTGCATAAGGTGGCTGGCGGGTGTCTGCCTCTCCTAGTTTAGTCGGATCGGATTCGATGAACATGGTCCTTATGAAGAATAGAAATTGGCAATTCACGTTGTGGTTTTGGCGTAGGTAAGAAACGTTCTTGCTAGAAACCTATAGCAGCGACGTAAAAAAACTTCCAACAACAATTAGAGGACGTCTAACTTGTTTTTGCAGCATGTGTTTTTGTGATGTGATATGGCCAAAGGATGTGATGAATGATATATGTGATGTATGAGATGATCATGTTCTTGTAATAGGAATCACGACTTGCATGTCGATGAGTATGACAACCGGCAGGAGCCATAGGAGTTGTCTTAATTTATTTATGACCTGCATGTCAATATAAACGTCATGTAATTACTTTACTTTATTGCTAACCGTTAGCTGTAGTAGTAGAAGTAATAGTTGGCGAGACAACTTCATGAAGACACGATGATGGAGATCATGGTGTCATGCCGGTGACAACGATGATCATGGAGCCCCGAAGATGGAGATCAAAAGGAGCAAAATGATATTGGCCATATCATGTCACTTTTTGATTGCATGTGATGTTTATCATGTTTTTGCATCTTATTTGCTTAGAACGACGGTAGTAAATAAGATGATCCCTCATTAAAATTTCAAGAAAGTGTTCCCCCTAACTGTGCACCGTTGCGAAAGCTCATCGTTTTGAAGCACCACGTGATGATCGGGTGTGATAGATTCTAGCATTCACATACAACGGGTGTAAGACAGATTTACACACACGAAACACTTAGGTTGACTTGACGAGCCTAGCATGTACAGACATGGCCTCGGAACACAAGAGACCGAAAGGTCGAGCATGAGTCGTATGGTAGATAAGATCAACATGAAGATGTTCACCGATGATGACTAGTCCGTCTCACGTGATGATCGGACACGGCCTAGTTGACTCGGATCATGTAATCACTTAGATAACTAGAGGGATGTCTATCTGAGTGGGAGTTCATAAGATGAACTTAATTATCCTGAACATAGTCAAAAGGTCTTCGCAAATTATGTCATAGCTCGCGCTTCAGTTCTACTGTTTAGATATGTTCCTAAAGAAAATTTAGTTGAAAGTTGATAGTAGCAATTATGCGGACTAGGTCCGTAAACTAAGGATTGTCCTCATTGCTTCATAGAAGTCTTATGTCCTTAATGCACCACTCAGTGTGCTGAACCTCGAACGTCGTCTGTGGATGTTGCGAACATCTGACATACACATTTTGATACCTACGTGATAGTTCAGTTAAACAGTTTAGAGTTGAGGTGCCGAAGACGTTTTGAAACATTGCGAAACATATGAGATGTTTCGAGGGAAGAAATTGGGATTTCAGGCTCGTGCCCACGTCAAGAGGTATAAGACCTCCGACGATTTTCTTAGCCTGCAAACTAAGGGAGAAAAGCTCAATTGTTGAGCTTGTGCTCAGATTGTCTGAGTACAACAATCATTTGATTCGAGTGGGAGTTGATCTTCCAGATGAGATAGTGATGTTTCTCAGAACTCATTACCACCAAGCTGCTAGAGCTTCGTGATGAACTATAATATATCAGGGACATATATGATGATCCTTGAGATATTCGCGATGTTTGACACCACAAAAGTAGAAATAAAGAAGGAGCATCAATTGTTGATGGTTGATGAAACCACTAGTTTCAAGAAGGGCAAGGGCAAGGGCAAGGGCAAGAAGGGATACTTCATGAAACGGCAATTCAGCTGCTGCTCTAGTGAAGAAACCCAAGGTTCAACCCAAACCCGAGGCTAA